AGTTTCTATGCATAAAAAATGTTCTAATACATGTACACACAACCACAAGTGTCTATTCAACTAAGTTCAGTTATGAACTTAATATTAGAAATATAATATGGGCTCACAATTTCCTTTATGAATTATTTGGTTCAAATACTAAATCTAAAGGTAAACTTGAACAAAATCATAAGAAAATTTTCTAACAAACATGAAAAATAAATATTGTATGACCCTTTTTGTTGCCCAAAATGTAGTGTGTCGAGAAAGAGGATATAAGCGAATATTTAGAGAATAAATGTATAATCACTTGCCCACAAGAAAGATCAAGGGAGGAAATTCATGAGTGTGGGACTCTCCTAATTGCTACCTTGGACCCATTGATGGATCCTCCATCACTTATAAAATCATAACTACGGCAACTTTTTAACCTTACTTTTTTCTCCACGTGTCTTGTGTTATTTGGCACTAACTTTAATTACACTAATCAAAAGCAATTAGGTATAGTTCTTATTGTTGGCCAAATAGAATAGGTAGTATAATGTGGTTTCTTAATCAGCCTTTAGGTATAACTTTTGTAAGAATTTTTACTGTCGCTTACATGTAAGAAGTTTTCAAAACTATTCCTCAATCATTGTAACTTTAGTTGGATTTGAAGTGTCGTAATTTCAACTGTTGTTGCTAATAATATAAAATAAGTTGTTCATATTAGTAAACTAAACATTCAGTTAACATAAAACACAAGAAAGAAATATGAAATATTTTGGTGCTATAAGGTTGGTGAATTCACCATGTTTGTGCTTGTGGAGCATGATATATGTTAGTGGAGAAAGGAATCATGTATTTTTCTAACTTTTTGAAATCCTAAGTATTAATACGGTAATTAATCCCCATCTTTTTTTCCCCATGTAATGCATGCCAACCAATTTTAGATACACAAATTGTCCAAGTACAGCTAACAATACTAATTTTATGTGTAACCCTTAATTAACACCAATAACTAAGAAAAAAACAATCAATGCACATTGTAAATTAAAATTGATATTAATAAAGACTTAGTCAAACATACCGGTTTTGGGGACCATCTCGGAGACATAGTTAATCCAAGAGAAGCGAACCGACCAATACTCTTCATAGACCCGGCAGAAACGGGCGACCCGAGTTCCGACCCGTTCTGATGTGAAGAAACAGGGGAAGAAACAGAGCTCTCATCTCCATCAGACATGGCTTCAAGATCAGAACCATCGACGGTAATAACATCCCAAATCAACCAGTTCTTGGTCTTAGCCGTATGTGGCTCGTCGTGAGTAACGGAGTTTCTCCACGGCGGTGTTCCGCCGTTAGCTCTCATCCATTTGCCGCACCAAGATTTCAACTTCACCTGAAAACCATCTCGTTCCGGTTCCCATTGGGTTTGCCAATCCAACGGTTTGTTAGACGACGGCGTTTGAGTCACTTTCTCACCGGTCATACCTAACAGTAACGGTTTATTGCTCGCCGTTAAGTAGGTGCCGTGACAGCTACGTAATCTTATTAGATTCGGTTTATCGACGACGGTCTCCACCGTCCAAACGGCTCGCCGTGAATCCCCTTTACGGCTTTGACGGATGGTTTCTTGGTCATCGTCGGCGACTAAAAACTTATCTAGGTGGCTCCGTAACTTAACGTCGTTACTTTTGGTGAATAACTCCATTTTCTTTTGAGGTTTGAAGAAAGAGACAAAATTGAAATCGAACAGAGAAATCTTCTTTTTGTGAAGGAAGGAGATACGTATATGGAGGTTTTTTTTGTGTGGTTGTATAGATTGATTAATGATTAAAATGAGATATGAAAAAGCCTGGCTAAAAGGGAACTTTGTAAGTTAATATATGGAGGGATTATTTAGCTTGGAATTATTTAGAAATTTCCCAAATCAAATGAAGAAACGGACTAACTGATAAAATATTAAACAAAGTGTGAAAGTTTGGAAGGAATGATCAAACAGTAAAGAAATATGATATTTAAATAAATATTGCGGAATGTTCCACCTTCGCAACTCATTGAGTCATTGTACATCTTACCTCACGCGCGTGAAGTGGGTGATGTGAAAGACTTAGCAAGAAAATGGATTGTGTCTTACTTTATGGTTCAATGTTGGTTTTCTTCCAAGAACTGGTTTTTAAAAAACGGCGAACCGTTTTATGAAGTATGTCAATCTGTGTTATTCGGTTTGAGTTGTTCCTTGTCGCTGCCTTATTGACACACCTCAACCATAATTGATGTAACTTTCGTACCGCCGATCTAAATGATTTCAATTTTTTTTTTTTTGATAAAGCTAACACAATTATATATCTCGTGCCTAGATTTCAGCTCGTTATGTTTTTAGATTAAGTTGTGGCGATCCGATTTCTTTGGGTCGGCACTAAAAAGCCCAGTTGACATGTCTCAACGAAAATTGATGTAACTTTTAAACAGCGATCCAAATGCCTTGAATCTTCTGTTGGATGCAAGGTGACTCAAATATCTATCTTTTTCATTAAGGATGCCGATCCGTTCTGATGAATGTGCCGAAGCGGCGAGCCGTTTTGATGGGGCGCGAGAAACCTAGATCAGTGTGTCTTTAGTAAATCGAATGTATCTTTCTAATCACAACTCCAAATAATGTGATTCCAATGCCATTGGAAATCTGGCTCAAATATCTTTTTTTTTGCATCAAGGGAGCCGATCCGTTCTGATGATTATGGCGAAGCAGCGAGCCGTTGTGACGAGGCGTGAGAAACCTATATATGTGTATCTTTAGTAAATCGAATGTATCTTTCTAACCACAAATCCAATTAATGTGATTCCAATGCCATTGGAAATATGATTCAAATATCTTTCTTTTTCATCAAGGATGTCGATCCATTATGATGATTGTGCCGAAGAGGCGAGCTGTTTCGACGAAGAGACGATGTTGTCGCTTGTTAGAGCGATTATCATGGCGATCCGTTGATGAAGGAATGGTGTGGCTCCAATGATGGAGGGATTTGTTGACAATAATATAGGTTTGATTGAGACAATGGCGAAACATTTGTTCGTTTTTTGCTAGACGATAACGATGAGCCGTTTCTTGGAGAAGATAGACCGCCATCTTTGATAATGAATATTCGAAGTTAAGGCTGACGAGCCATTTGTACTAAGTTTTGAYTGGACATTCTGGTTTACAAACTTTTTTCCGTGAAGAATTTTGCTCTGATAATGAACACTTAGACCAGCGAATTGTGTGCTGGATTTTTAGATGAACATTCTGGTTTACGAATATGTTCCTGTGAACAAGTCCGCTCCAACAATGAGCATAGAATTTCGACCAAAGAGCTCTGTGTTGGGTTTCTGAGATGAACATTCTGGTTTACGGATGTATTCCTCTGAACAAGTCCGCTCCAGCAATAAACACAATTTATATAGCGCGCTTTAATCCGCTGGGGATGTAGAGGTCATTACTGTGGCCAACAGTAATGAGATAACAAAGAGAAGTCTGTTTAAGAAAAGAATTTAGATAATTTTGCAAGTAAAGACTTGGCTTTCGATTTATTCTAAATGGCAAGCCGTGT